ATTTAAGCCATAATTTGGAAAAAGTACAGTACTTTAAAATGCAATCACTATTGCTTGTGCTGGGAGAAGCACTGCTGAAGTTTTGGGAGAAGTTACAGATTTCAGTGTAATGTCATTTAAACTAATATCTGAAACTGTAAGGATTTTTATTTACATATTTGTACTTTTAATTTTTTTTTTTTATTTTAGGGCCATGAATCTGTTTTCTAGCAGTTAGAAAGTTTTGAACAGAACCTAAGTTACTTCTAGTCCTTCTGGCTGTGAAGTTACCTTCTTAATATAAATAATTACTGCAACTAAATTTGTAGAGTATGTAACCCTTGGGGATGTGGAACTCATTATGTTTTGTGTAAATACATAGCGATTAGGATTGCCTAATGTGAAATTTTGAAATGTGTGCATTTAATTTCAATTCCTGCTCTGGAACAACCAACTGGAGAGAATGAAGTATTATGTCCTATAGAATTTGCAAGGTGTTTCATTAGATTTACATGCCAGGGAAGACTGCCGGCTCTAAGGCTTCAAAGGGCTTTCTGGGGAAAACAACCACACTTTAGCAATAGCAAAAAATATGTAGTGTGGTGGTCAGTTTGGTTTTGCCTTGGATTTGCCTTGGATTTGGTTGGATAGCTAATAGGAGAGACAAGCACTGAACATCTCTGTGGCTGAAGCTCTTCTAAGAGCTTTGTCTCGTTGATGGTTTTGGTGTGCCAATGACACCTGAGCTCCTGCCAGTCCCCACCTGGCTGTGGACTTTTGTGATGCTTGCAGGAATTTACAGCCTTCATACCTCCAACACTGCATTACTGGTAGCTGAAACGGGCACAATGATTCGCAAGTTACTGAAGGGAGGTGGAACTCAGATATGCAAACCAGGTAAACTTTGTTTCCTTAGAAGGATCTGGAACACAAGTCTTATGAGGAGCAGCTGAGGCAGGTTGGGGGTCTTTAGCCTGGAGAAAAGGAGGCTCAGGGTGACACTGTTGCTCTCCAACTAACTGAAAGGAGGTTGTAGCAAGGTGAGGGTTGGTCTCTTCTCCCAGGTAACAAGGGATAAGACAAGGGGAAATGGCCTCAAGTTGCACCAGGGGAGGTTTGGTTTGGATATTAGAAAATTTTTTCCACCGAAAGGATTGTCAAGCACTGGAACAGGAAAGTGAAGGAGTCACCATCCCTGGAGGTATTTAAAAGATGTGTGGCATTTAGGGACACGGTTTAGTGGTGGACTTGGGAGTACTAGGTTAATGGTTGGACTCAATGATCTTAGTCTTTTCCAGCCTAAATGATTCTATGATTCTAAGACCAGTTGAAATCAAGTACTTTCTGGTCCCAAAAGGAATGTCTGAGTATGAGCTCCCAAAGGAAAACTAATATCCCCTCTTTCCATCTTAATCTCTGTCCTGGTGCTGTCTCACAGTCACTTCAAGCCAAGCTGAAACCAGGATGCTTTAAAGAGCTCTTTCTTCCCCTGCTGCTCTCCTTGCCTTGGGTCTACAGACCTTTCTTTTGGAGTGTGTTCTCAGCACTGCCCATAACCCCATTGCAGAGTAAGAATGAGCTGATGACAGCTTCCTGGTCTGCAAGCTAATTTACTTTATTTTAAAAATGTTTGGCAGTTGGGATTACTTTGAAGGCAGCTATTTTGCAAAATATATTTTTTTTTAAGTTTTCAGATCTTCAGTTTGGCACTAGCAAGAAGCCAGCTGAGCGAGTTACCTTCTCTGTGATTTCAGAAAGGGCTACAGTCTTTATTTAGATTCCTCTGAACAGTATGGAAGTGCTTGTGAGAACTGGAAGACCACTGGATTCAGTGGAAGCTGGATTGTGCTCTAAATTATCATAGATTCTTTGGGCAAAATTCTGATATCTGATGCATAGCTATAAATTGGAGAACATCTCCTTTTATTTTAGTAATTACTCTGGTGACGGAAGTGAGAGGCTGGATAAAGATGAGCCAATCTCCAGTGGTGGATGTCTCATTGAACACTCAAATCACTGGCTGCTGACATCTCAAGTCCTCGCTCTTCCTCCTCCAGAGTGACCAAGTGGCCTCAGTGTGAATTTTGGTGGATTTGACACAGAAATCAGCCTAAATACAGCCATTCTCCAGTTCCTTGTGTAATGCATTTTATCCCTGTGATAGGTGTGCAGCTTCGGGGTGATGCCATCTGAGGAAGATCTCAGGGTCCATTTAGTTACACCACAGATGTGTGTGTGTGTGATTTGGATATAGTTTGTGTTTAAAACTGGAGTACTGTACCATTGTTATGTTTTTACCTGAAGACAAGTAGTGTAGATTCATTACATGAGATAAAAACAGAGCTTTTTCAGTGAAGAGTTGTGCGACCTTTCCTGTTTTGTTTGCCCAGAAAATTTGTGTCATCCTAGCACAGTTCTATTTTCCACCTGATTTTCTATCTGTGCTGGAGAAAAGAGGAAGGTAATTCAGCTTTACTCTTGTTTTGTTATACTAAATAGAAGAGCTAAGCTCTGTTTTCTGGCCTTTGCTTTTGTTTTACTGGCTGTCCTTTGACACCTGTTCTGTCATCCCATCTTTCCCTTCTTTTGCTTTCCTTCTTTCTGGATGATCTCTGTTCCTGCAGTGGCAGTTCCCTGCAGAGGGAGGCAGGCAGTCACAGCTCTGCCACAGCTCTGTCTGCAGCCCCGGGTGCACACCTGTGTCTGCTGCCATGGAGGGATAGCAGGAATATTTTGGGCGGTGTCACAGAGCTGCAGGTGGGTTTCCTCCCGGCCAGAGTGTGCAGCCACTTCATCCTGCCTTTCTCTGGGCATTGACCAGCTCCCAAGGAATCTGCAAGCAGAGGCCTCAGCCAAAATCATGAGATAAATGACATTTCTCTGAAAGGAAAAACAGTCACTATCTTTCATTTGCACCATCTGATTTCAGTCGCATGGCTTGCAATGAAACTATAAATAACATTTACAATTTCTTTTGCTTCATTTGTATTTAAGAAACATATTTATTACATAAAATCTTGCTACTTTCTCATAGTAATTCTACAGCTATGTTTGCCACAGCAGTTCCCCTGTTACATTACTGCAATTATAATAAATTATTGAAGCAGAAGCCTAAATATGTACATAGCCTACTCTTTCAATTTTAATTCCAATTTAAATATTTTATATAGTTTTCTTATAGATTCTTTATTGATGGCTAGTAATTGCATCATCACAGAGAATATAGTTTTGTTTTGAAAGATGCTTTTGGAAATTGTACCAGCATTGTTAATTATTCAAGACAAAGAAAAAAGTTAAGACTGTCTGTCTTCAACATGTCAACAGGATAAAAGAGATAAAGTGTTTGTATCTAGAAGAGTATACTAAGGCCAGTAGTAAATTTGGTACTGCAAAGAGGGAAAAGCTAGAGTCATACCTGAGACGCACTATGAACATCTGGTCTTCAATGTAGAGATGAGCTTCTGCAGTTAGAGCTATTTTATTGAGTGGCTGAATTTGAAGTTGGAATAGGAACACAAAAATAATTGGTGTCACCTAGGCTCCCAGTCCTACCCCCTGCCTCTCCCAGTTTTCTGGCCAAACCATATTTCTGCTTTCCTTTGATATGCCTTGTCCTTTGCTCGAAGGAGTTGGACTCGATGATCCTGAGGGGTCTGTTCCAATTCAGTAATTTTTAGTGATAACATTAGTCATAATTTCCTAATTGTATGGTGAAAGACAGTGATAGTGATGTACCAGCAGATTATGTAAATCAAAGAGAAGTTATTTTTGTGTCAATATATATTTGTTTACCTTCTTTTTTCTTTTTGATTTTTTTTTATTGTTTTATTTTAAGAACCTGTACATACTGAATAATACATTTTGTTAGCAGTTCTCCAGCATAGAGTGTCAATTTCCATCCTAGGCTTCAGATGGGAAGTGGCAGGTCTCTGCTTGCCTCTTCTCCCCAAGTTTCTATTGTTCTACTAGCAGCAAACTCCCAGTAAGTTTGAAAAAGGAAAATAATCTGATATTTTTTAAATTCCCTTGTACTAAACTATAGAATTAAACTTTATATTAATATGAGAATTAGAACATGTAATGGGAAACACAATTTTTATGAAGATGTGAAATCACAAAGTCATCATGAGTTTTCTACACGTAACCCAATGGAGAAAAAGAATAATTTTGCTTAAATTCTGTTATCTGTCACACGAATAATACATCTTAATAATAGGAGTTTTCTTTTTAATTAGATAATGTTTTGTGTATAAATTAATGTGGGACAAGTAAAAAATATAAGAAAAATGGATACCACAGTTAGGCATGTATTGAAGAATGCATGGCTATGATAGAACATTATCAGACAACTAAATAGCTATGTTAATAACTGGTTAGTTAAATTCATACATGAAACTATTTTTAGTCAAACTCCTTGTTGATCTCAGGACTCATTTTACAAAGATTTTTTTACAAAATGCTACGAAAACAAGAGGATAGTGTTGGAAACAGCTTTCCAGTTTGGTGAAACTTAAAAACTTTACTTATTTCACAAGATAAAGCCACAGCTTTTTGAAGATGAAAGAGAGGATACGGTATTAGAGTACTCCAGTGGGGAACCTGGACTGCAAGAGAACCAGACTCCTGATGTGGGTCTTTCTAAGGGGTCTTGGATTCCTGTGGTTGTTATAACCACAAGGCTATTCTCTTTCCTCTCTCTTTCATTTTGATCAGAAATTATGTCCTACAGCAAGAACTTTTCTCAATGAAAGTTTCACCTAAACTAGTAGACTTCTGTGGAAAGTTGCAATTTCAATACATTGGTATTTTTGGCAGAGTTGACTAGCTCTACCTATGATTACATGTATGTATAAAATCAAGTATCCCCTACAGTAAGTAGCTGAGCAATCACATAGTTGTTAGCTAAGGCTTTATTTTATTATATTTTGATGTATTACTTCTTAATAAATTGGAACTTATAAGTGATGTATTGCTTAATAAAACTCAAACCTGTGATCCAACACATTTGTAGGAAACAGGCTATGGGTAATCCTCCAGCTAAAGCTACTTAAATTTGTGCTATACTGCATGTACCTTTTTTCACACAGAAAGTTACTCCCCCTGACTGAGTTGGTGAGTTAAAGAAGAAAAAAAGGCGGCTAGCAGCACTGTGATGGCAGCGTAAGTTTTCTTCCTTTTCTGTTAACACTCTGTATACAGTGGTCCTTTAATGTTCAGTTCCAAAATTAGATAGTACATTTCCTGGGAGGATTTTTATGCTCATCAATCATAAAGTTGACCTTAACAACTGAAGGTGCCCAGTCATTTGTTTATAGACAAGCTCACAAAGGTATTAAAATGCTTAGCTGTGAAAGCTGAATCTCAGCTAGTGTGATGTGTAAAATCCAAGATAAAGTGGTTAATAGGACAGTAAGAAAAGACTGATAGAATCAAAGGGAAGTGATTCACCTCATTTGGGTATGTACTTTTGTTGAAATGATGATAGAAGAACCAAACTGTTTCTTGTTCATTAATACTGTTATTTGTAATAAAGCCTTTAATCTTTGAAAATAACTTTTTAAATTATTGTGATGAGGGATGATAGGAAAGCTAAGCAGATGCTGCTCTTTCTCTATGTGTTGTACATATCCTAGTTCAGAGGACACTTAGGCCAATAATGCAGGAGGCTTTTTGAAATATAGTCTGACTGCAGTCTTATGCCAAAAAGATAGTTAATATACTTCATTTTTGTTTTAACTCATCTCTTTGTTTCAAAAAGTTGCCTCTGTTTGCATATACTTTTTAAAGTAATATACAGTATATCTTTAAGTAGATAGTATTGGTGTGGGGTTTCTCTATGTCATTTTCTTTTGCGAGACTGACATTGTATAGGCAAAATATAAGACAAACATCTTTCCCTCCTACTGCACATTTCTTTTACCATTACTGTGATTCCAGTGCAAAGGCTGGACATACAAGAGAGCTACACCTTTATAAAAATGAAATTTTTTAGATCATCATCCAGGAGAACAAAGATCACTGTGAAAATAAGTGAACACTTAAGTGGTTTTGCATTCTGGTGTTCATAGATCCTAAAAGTCATCCTCCGTGCAATGACCTTTGCCTAATATTTCTATAGCTATGCAGTTCGCTTAATCTTAATAAATAGGAGCATGTACTGCAACCACAAGCATAATAAGCATCGGCAGTAAAAAACATTTCACACAGCTTTCCCAGTAGTACTATTCACCTTTTTCCCTCAGACCCAAAAAAAGCACATGCCCATCTCCACTAATCTTCCCAAAAACACAGAAGCTGTCAACTAAGAACTCTGGCTGCAAACTCTGCTGAAAATTTCCTGGTGCCCCAGTTGCAATGGGTGATAGCCCTCCACAGGCTTTCAAGGGAAATGTGATCATTTCTTGTCCATCTTTGTGTTCTCAGCACCATCCAATTAAAAGTGGACCCCAACCAGCAAGGGTATCCAGCAGTGAATATTATTGAGAACCCAAGTGAGCACCTGCTGGTAAGGTTTCCCTGTTTCCCTCTGCACTCTAAATACTCTCATTGTTTATTCATAGAGTCAAAGATTAAAGCCAGAGAGGACTACTGTGATCATCTAACCTCTAATCAAAAACTTTTCCAATTTTTCAACCTCTCTCACTTGCCAGCATTACGTGTGGAAGCAGAATGCTGTTTACAGTGACCCATTTAGATTTCCACCTTACTTCGGTCCTTCTGGACTTGTTCAGGTGTCCTGTTTTCTTGTTCAGTAGTACCTGCAGTGAATTTTGTAGGACTATTGTCTGTTGTCCAATCCAGTTTTGAGTTCAGTCTTGGGGCATTACCTCAGGTCTATCTCAGAGGTCCCAGCGTGACAACTCAGAATCACAGAATATGCTTAGTTGGAAAGGACCCACAAGAATCATCAAGTCCAACTCTTAGCCCCGCACAAGACCACCCCCAAGAGTCACACCGTGTGCCTGTGCTTCTTGAACTCTGTCAGACTTGCTGGTGTGACCACTTCCCTGGGGAGCCTGTTCCAGTGCCCATCCACCCTCTGGGTGAAGAACCTTTTTCTAATATCCGGCCTAAACCTCTGCCGACGCACCTTCAGGCCATTCCCTCAGGCCCTGTCGCTGGTCACCACAGAGAAGAGATCAGTGCCTGCTCCTCTTCTTCCCTTCACAAGAAAGTTGTAGAGTGCAATGTCTCCCTTCAGTCTCCTCCAGGCTGAACAGACCAAGTGACCTCAGTTGCTCCTCATATGGCTTCCCCTCAAAGCCCTTCACCGTCTTTGTTGCCCTCCTTTGGACACTCTCTAATGCCTTAATATCTTTCTTATATTGTGGTACCCAAAACTGCACACAGTATTCAAGGTGAACCTGCACCAGTGCAGAGCAGAGTGGGACAATCCTCTCCCTCAACTGTTTAAGAGATGTAGAGATCCTGGTACCAGAACTCAGAATCAACCGACTATACTGATGTTTGTGTAAATTGTTCAGGCTTACATCTGAAAACTTACAAAAACTGGCATCTTGAGTTTTTCAGACAGCTTTTGTCCTCACTCTCCTCCTTTCCATTTTGTCTGTGTTTTGTTTGGTTTGTATTTTGTTGGAGTTTTGTTTGTTTGGTTTGGGGTTTAGGTTTTTTTTGATTGTTTGTTTTCCAATAGAACAATATCAGTGTCAAAATTCAAATGCATTTCAGAGAAGTCTAGGTTTTCATACTGGTAAGTATCCAGAGTAGTTCAAGAGACAAAGCTTGAGGAGGAAACCAGTGAAGAATAATTAAATATCTTCAAAACAAACACTCTGCAGACCTCAGACTGTCAAATCATTGTCTAAGCTTGGCTAATTAGTGCTGTAACAATGTGCTTTTAACACATAGCTGGTACTTTGATGTGAACTGGTTTGTATCTGGAAGGGTCAAAATGGGACAGAGTGAAAATGTGACCATTGGCAGGCCCCTTCTGTAGACATACCTTTAACTGCTGTATTGTGTGCTTAATTCTGGCAGGTCAAAGCCTACCCTGAATGATTCCATATATCTGTATAGATAGACAGGTGTTACTGATATATGTCATCTTAAATAAAAGATACAGAATACCCTTCATACCTGATTTTTAATTGTAGGTCAAGGTAACTGAAGGATAGAAAAATCTTAACAGTTGTTAGCATACTATCAATCAAACAAGTTCAGGATTCATTCATGAAAATGGATCTTTACAGACACAACCCACAGAAGTCCATGATGGGACAGATATCCACCCCGCAGCCCTTGGAATACCCCATGCCAGAGCAGATAGATGTGCCCTGAAAGAAGCCACAGCCCATGAAGACCCCATACCGGAATAGGCTCTTGCCAGGAATTGAAGCCATAGAGAAGAGCCCCCACAGCAGCAGGATCTGTGGCCTGCAGGGGACCTACACTCTAACAGTCCATTCCAGAGGGATTATACCCAATGGAAATGACCCACACCAGAGCAGTTCTTGAAGAACTGCAGCCCATGGGAAAGACCCATGTTGGAGAAGTTCATGAAGGACTGTCTCCCATCGGAAGGACCCCACACTGGAGCAGGGGAAGAGTGCGAGGAGGAAGGACCTTCAGAGACAAGTGTTATGAACTGACCACAACTCCCATTACCCATCCCTCCTTCGTGAAAGAGGTAGAAGAGTTATAAATGAAGTTGAACCTGTTGAGGGGAGTGATAGAGTGGCTTGATGGGTGTCTGGAAGCCAGCCAAGGTCAACTCACTACAACCAAAAAAGGTGTTTTGAAAGTAAAGAGAGCTACATGACCAAAGTCATGTTTGGTACCAAAATGGCAAAGCTATCTTTCTTTATCAAGGCATACCATATGACTAGCTGTACTGCTCTCTTCAAGGCTACAGGTCCAGGTGGTATAACTTCAGGGATGCAACTCTGACTGACTCAGCAATGCCACAGGAGTCAGGCCTTAGTAGGTGACACGTCTGCTAAGCTCATGGCTCTCACTGGTTCTCTGAATCTCTTGGCAGAATTTTGCCTAGTGATTAGCATATATAACTAGAAGTCAGGTTTCCTAGGGCCTTTATTTCTAGCTAGGGCATTGGCATGGTGGGTGAGGTGAACTTTAGTGAGACATCTCAGGTTGTTCTGCCTCTTTTTTTGCTGTAAAATAGATTTGAAACTTAATTCATTAATATTTGTAAAGCATTTGATGATCTGTAGAATACAGGCATTCTATCTTCGAGTAATTCTTATCCTTACCTTACATTAAAAGTGCCTTATTCTTGCCTTTATAATAAAAATGGACATAAAAACAAATACTACAGCATGTGATAGTGAAAAATAACTTGGTTCTTGCCCAATGCTGTATTGAAATTTCTGAGTATGTACTAAAACAATGACAAACCTTAAGAAGAGGAAGATGCTAATTTTCTCCCTCTTTTGATTTTTGAAATATTTTTAAAGCTGGAATATAAAGGGATGCTATTTAATATCTTACCAAATCTTATCATAGAATTAAACACACTAAGGCTGATTGAGGCATATTAGCAATCTTTGAGGCTTCAAATATGAGGCTTCCCTATATGAACCACTCTCTTAGAGTCTTGAAGCAGAATTTTTATTTCAGCAATTATCTAATAAGATGTGGGGTTTTTTTGTTTTCCGCCGTATCCCAGTGCGTGGTTATTTTATTTGGTGCCTTCTTAGTTTCACCATGACTGTGTATAATGCTTTCAAATATTGTTAAGAATGAGATCTGACCATGAAGCAGGTAAATATTCTAATGACATTCTATTTTTGAGGCCAAGATGTGTTTAAATCTTTTCTAACACACAAATTTATTTATTTTTTTTGCTTTTTATGAGCAGGTATTTGAGGTGTAACAGAAAGTTGTTACCCTTCTGCCACCTGAGAGTCAGGTCTTGAATCCGAGTCCACAGTTGCTTCTTTCCTTCAGTAAGCCCTGAAGAATGACTTGTCAGCAAAAATGTTTCCTGCTGCCATCATTTATTCTAGTTACAGTGTTATTTCTTTTCTCTCTACAGATTTCACCTTGCTTGGTTTGTACTGGGTCTTTTTGTCATCAGCAGATGGATGGGAAATGAATGGAGAGAGATGGCTGCCATGGATAGTATTTGCAGAATTAAGCAGATGAATATCAAATACCTTTGATTAGCCACAAAGAGAATTTACAAGTGGTAAAGGGGGTAAATGAAGAGATTTATTCCTACCTCTCCTTTTTTTTTTTTCCAGGAACAATGAATAGAAATATTAGTGTATTAGCACTGGAACTATTTTGTAAGTCAGACACAGCAAAAGGCTTATTCTTGCGTACTTGTGGATAACCTGCTTGCAGTTTACTGTGACATTACTGCGAAGGACTCAAGAGGGCAAATTTAGGACCTTGGACAGATATAAGATCTTCTTTTATATAAGACGGAATTTCATATGCTTTATTTAAAATTTCTGTAGTAAAATATACAGGTATGTGTTCACCCTCTGAGTGCCAAGCAGCATCGGCCTTTAATTTTAAACTGTTATTATAACACTAGTAAAATAAGTTTGTAAAGGCCAGTATAAATACAAGGCTTCAGTAAATATACTGCCTTTTCTGGTCTGAGTGGTGCATTTATATTCATACGTCTATCACTTTGTTAATGAGTTTTCTTCTATAAATTGACCCTGACTGCTACTGTAAAGTATAGCTTAAATGAAGTGTGGCTTTGAGACCAGGCAGATTATTAAAATATTAAGGGATATACATTGAATCATATGACTATCTTTCTTGCTAATATTTCAAGACCAAATACTTTTTGTCTGAAAGATGACCTTTAATGAGGAAACTTATGGTCCAAGATGTACAAAGCTCCCTTTGGAGCTTTTATTTTATCTTCCTTTTTCTTGCATCTTTTAGTCATTCACACATCTGCAAAATGGATTTAAAATGGCATCACTTAACCGAGTAGCCTTTGACACTTATTTCACTTAAATACAGATGAGTGTTTAAGGTACAAAACACAGGAAAACTGCATCCCTTGTCTTCTCTGTGAAATATAAACATACGATGGTGGCAGAAATTAGTATATTCTGGGTGTAAGCAGCAAGCTCAATTCTTAGTGGGCACGTTTGTAAAATCAAAACAAGCTCTTTCTATAATTGTAAGAAAGAATGTATTTGGCTAAGTGTTTATGTACTCAAAAGAAACACACGCATGTAGTGCTGGAGATTTCTTGCAAAAATATCTATGTGCCTGACTAGGGCATCACAATGCCTTTATTAGGATTTTACACTGTGTCCTTATGCTTTTCCTACTGATTGTCACTCCAATACAGATACTGTAAATTAATTAGTTTAATACCCCCTAGTGAACAGAAAATCAGTGTCTCTTATCAGTATTTATATTGATGAGAGAAAATTCTTAATTATGTTTAAGCGCATACATGTATGTGCATAGACAAATTCTGATTTTTATCGTACAAGTGTCAGTGAGCTACTCAGCTACTAAGTACCATATAAGTTGCTTGAGATATTGTGACCAGATGGTTCACAGGGCTAGTAATGGATTATAGTTCTTTCTAGCTCCAGATTGCCAGTTCAAATCTGGGTCAGGTTGACACTGTCTGAAAATTATTACTGTTTGGTGGCTCATGTGAAATAAGTTGGAGACCTCAATATAGTTCCTAAAGGCTGGGTTAATATAACACAAATGTCACCAGATGATTCTTGGTTTCAGGGCTCAGGCTGAAGCACACTGAAGTCAGTGGAAAAACTTCCATTGATTTCAGTGGGTATTGAATTAGGTCTTAATTATGGAGAATGACTCCTTTGAGCTCTCGGAAGTGGTTATTTACAAGGGGACGAAGGATCTCCATGAACTGCTCCTGGGAGACAGGTAGTGCTGCCAGCTAGGATAAAGCAGAAAGAGATGCTCATCTGTCCTTGTACTTCATGGAGTATGAGGATATCAGGAGGGGCCAATTCCTGACTGAAATACACTAATCTTACTTAGTTTGGGTAAGAGTGGGTTTATTCTGGCAGAGCAGTAGAGAGTCAAAACCTCTCTGAAAGTTCAAAATATCATTCTCTTGTTAGGTTTGGTGCTGTTGACCAGGTCACACAAATGGCTCCTAAATTTTTTGCAGATCATCTGCTCTCATCTAAGGATATTTTTGGTTTTGTTTGAACAGCAGAACTCCTTTGAACTCCACAGAGGATTACCTGGCTTCAGTTTAAGGCATAGTTTGTCACCCCCCAGGCTCCATTTGTGCAACAATGAATGAGAAATAACTTGATCCTTGGGGATAAGAGCCATAGGGAAGAAATATTAGATATTAAAGACTCTTTAGTTTGACTGACTGAAAATTTAAACTACACAGGTTAAAATGGGAAATGAGGCACAGTAGTATCACAGTAGTTGATTAGCAAGTGGATCGAACCCGTAGGAAAAATGGAGGCGTTGCCATTTCAATCACATCAAGTTCAGATACATGTCCAGAAGATATGCATTAATCAGACATGCCACTGATTATGTCCAATAACACTGTGCATTGTGATAATTATGTAGTATTATTACCAGGGGAATAAAAAAAAGATAAAACTGAGCCACTAGTCTATTGAACTACATGTATTCACCGCTGCCTTCCACTCTCTTTTGAGTTTGGTTTCTAGTCCTACTCCAGAGGCACTCAAGTACAACTATGATTGCATAATTTCTGTACCCCTTAAATGAAATGAATTAAAATTCCAGAATCAGTTCTTGTCTGTACATCTGAGAACAAAATGTCTAACTCCTTTGACATCTTTCAATGATAATGTCACCTGTCTAGTGAATGGAGGAATTGTTGGATATAACAATTCTGGGCCCCACCATTTAAGGAGGATGTGAAGGAACCTGAGTGCATCCAGAGGAGGACAACAAAGCTGGTGAAAGGGCTGGAAGGTGTGTCCTTTAGGGAGTGGCTGAGGACCTTGTATTTGTCTAGTTTAAAGAGAAGGCAGCAGAGGAGTGACCTCATTGCTCTCTAAAGCTTTCTGAGGAGGGGAACTGGAGAGGGAGGCGATAATCTCTTCTCCCTTGTATCAAGTGACAGCATGTAATTCCATGTGGGAATGGTTCAAAGCTGCATCAGAAGAGGTTCAGGCTTGACATTAGGAAGCACTTCTTTAGAGCAAGGGTGGTCAAACACTGGAACAGGCTTCCTAGAGAGGAGCCAGTCAGTATTTGAAAGGCATTTGGAGCATGCCCTTAATAACATGCTTTTACTATTAGCCCTGATCAGCCCAAACCGGTGTCACAGTCGGACTAGAGGATTGTTGTGTGTCCTCTCCAACTGGACCTACCCTATCCTAACTTATCCTGTCCTGTCCTATCTTACCCTGTCCATCCTAGTCAATAAAACTATAATTTCGTTTTAAAAAGTCCCTTTTGTTTCTCCTTCATCTAAACTTTTTTTGTGTTTAGTTAGATGCTGGTGACTTGGGAATTTTACATTCTAGCTACATATTCTAAAAAAGTTTCAGGTTTGCTGTTGAATTGCCAGATTTTAGAATCCCTCATTTGTTTACCTGTCTAGTATTTAGCTTAGTGGGAAATAACAAACTTGACCTGTTTACCATTGATAAATGGAAATAATTGATACTTTAAGGATGTTCCCCTCCAGTAGGAGAACAAAGAAACCAGATTTTGGGACTGGTCGGAGAACAGAAAAAGCAGAAACAGACAAAAGCATTTTCATAGTAGATAGTATGGGTGAGAGAATATGGCTGGGGTAAAAATTAGAGGAAATTGAGAAGTTGTATTCACACCCTAACAGAAGTTATAATGGTACAGAAATTTTAGGGTAAAATGCAGCTACTACTCCCTGGATGGAATGCGGTTGGCAGCTCCATGATCATTCCCCATACCACAGCAAAGCACCTGCTAAGGCAGATGGAATAGAGGGTGGAGTGGAGACACAGCAGCCAGGCTCTGTGGTAATCCTTACAGGGAGGTACTTTGCAATGGTACTTTGCAACTGATAAACTGCCCAGTACCTGTCAGCCAAGGGAGACAGGAGATGTCCTGCTTCTGAGCCAGCAATGGTGGTGAAATCATTCTCCTCAGATGAACTTGGTTCATTAAAGCCTAACTGTAATATTAACACACACCTCCATCCCAAAGTTTCCTGCTTCCAAGGTGTGACCACCTTCCACTGGGCATGTGCTCTATATTTTTTTGACTGTATCTTTAAAAGTGAAGCGAGAGAATTTTTTACACCAATCAGTAACAAAGGTATTTATGACTAGAGTCACTCAAGCTCTACCTAAACATAAAGAAATAGTATAAAAGTAAGCCAAGAATGGGGAAAAAGTGAGGGAAGACTCCATAGTAACTGCTGGGATCCATCAATGGGCTGAACCTATCTTCTTCCTCACCTCTTGGGTAAGAACTGTACTCTATGCATGCTGAATACTTTTACTGGGATTAGAGCTTGTCTGTGTTGTGCCTTGAATATGTTTTTGCAGTCAGATACTATCACCGGCAATCCTTGAACCTGTCACAGTTTTATATTAATAAAGAGTGTTATTCCCTAAGCTGTTAGTGGTGGTCCTTCCTGGGCAGCAGAGGGTAACACACTCAAATAAAGTGGGAAGACCCACTGAGGGGTCTCCATTATGCTGTTGGCATAAGGGAGTTCCCTGACAAGGGCAGTGAAATTGCCCTCTGATCCAGTGGGACTGTTTGGTGAAGGATCCCCATAACGGGACACCGACAGACTGGTCAAGCATGAGGGTCTCGGCTTTCCTGGGGCACTAACAGACAAATCAAACACTAAGCGTTGAAGAAAACTCCCATTTTTATGTGACAATGGGCGTTCAATTTATTCTTGAGATCAAGAGCAAGATAATCCACAAATACAATTTGCATGGAGGGAGAAACCTGAAGGAAATAAATCAATGATAATTAATGGCTTTTGTTCAGGCCTTTACTGACTTAAATAGTAAAACAGGAGTGTTTTAAATGCAGAACTTACTGTTATATTATGTCATATTTTCTCGAAGAGATAAACTCACAAAACAGAAAAGTCACATCTTCATTGGGATACTGTCAAGCAGGTGAAGGGGGGTGAGAGACAGTTCCAAGTTCAACACCTAGCATTTGGATGAAGGATGATGTTCCTATTACCAGAAGACATCAGATGTCAAATCTGTGCTTGAGCTGTGATATGAACTTGGATATGCTTTGAAACTTGCTTGATTTTACATTTTGTTTGCATTTACTTAGCAATGAATAACTGATGGTAGTGTTTAATGAGAATAATCACATCATAGAATCATAGAATGGTCTGGGTTGGAAGGGACCTTAAAAAATATCTAGTTCCAACTCTCCTGACATGAACAGAGACACCTTTCACTAGACCAGGTTGGTCAGAGCCCCATCCAACCTGACTTCAAGCAATTCCAGGGATGGGTCATCCACAGCTTCTCCGGGAAAAAGGTTGTTATGTCTTTTCTATTAAACTTACCTAGATTTTAATGAAGATAATTAAGATCACTTTGGCTGCCTTCTTTGCGTGTGTATAAATGAAGTATTGCCCATCAAAAAGTTTAGGATGGCTGATACATGCATAAAAGAAATCTATAGAAGTTGTTTAGATTTACACATGAGTTTAGGGAAGCCTATTTTTCGGATTCCTAAAATGTTTCAGTGTCCTGTATTTAACTTCAGATGTAAATCTATTATGTTTGTGTGGATATATAAAATGTGCAATATGAAATGCTATTTTCTTTGTAAAGCAATTACCTTCTCATTTAGCCATATGATTTAGAATAATTTACATAGGAAAATAATTTAAATATGATATTGTTTTATGAAATCTCACAAAAAAACCTTCTCCTTTGCATTAATTATCTTTTCTATGCTACTTTCCCTCCTCCTCCTTCAACTGTCTCAGTGACTTTAAAGTTTATTTAATTGGGAGGTGTAATGAGTGAGAACACAAAATCTGTGTTGAATGATCACAAATCCTGAGCACTTCATTTGAAGATATACCTTTTTCCATATGCCTGTGTCATTTCCATTTACACAATCAGCAGTTGTCAAAGTCTAATTGCTTAGTGAGAGGCACTAAAATTCTTGGTGATGTCACAGATTTATACTCTGTTTTTCAGAATGTGCCTGACCTAAAAAGGAGGGGAGAAGAAGCTTCATAATGTCTTCTTGAGGTTAATCAATGTACCAACAAGGAATGATTGCCAATACAAACCTGCAGAATGGAGTATTTGGGGTCAGAAAAGCACTAAAGCTGAGTGGTAAGGAGAATGCTATGCTACACTAGAAGATTTTTTGCTTATAATGTGAGAAATATAGGATAGCTAAAAATTTACAGTTATAACTTTTATATATTTGTGGGAGGTAAATTATTTACTGAGGTCTGCTTCTAATTATTGATTCACCTTATCTGGCCATATGTCTTCTTTGCCTACCTGTATCTCCATTTATTTTGTCTTATTTTTTCCATTGCTTTTTGTGAGATTGTTCTTAATATGGAATTGTGGTTAGAGTCATGCTGAATAAGCATATATGTGGGTTATTTAAAACAGGAAGGTCATGTGAATCAAAGGCTAACCTATGTTGGACATATACTTCAACTATGTATGTTCATGTCAGTTATGGTGGTCAATCTGGCCAAGGCTGAGATGTTGTTTCAGGGAGTCCTTGTATCTTTTCTTCGGGGCTCCTCTCTTGCGGCAGCCGGTGGCAAGTTCACCATAAAGCAAGATCTTAGGGAGGCGGTGGTCCTTCATCCTGGAGACATGACCTGCCCAACACAGCTGTGTTCTCATCAGCATGGCCTCGATACTTATGATAGCTGCTTGCTCTAGAACAGATGTATTGGTCACATAATCTGACCAGCGGATGTTTAAGATTGTTCGGAGGCAGCGTTGATGGAAGCATTCTAGGAGACGCAGGTGGTGACGATAGATGACCCATGATTCGGAACCATACAAGAGAGTAGACAGCACTATGGCTCTGTAAACACTGATCTTTGTACTTTTCTTCAAGTGTTTATTACGCCATAGTCTTTTGTGAAATCAAATCTTTTTTTTGTGAACTCAAATCGGGAGGCCTGGAGAAACACCATCTATAACGCAGCTGTCTCCTTTGAGAACATACGCAGGATCACTCTCGAGGAGAAAAGGCAACGCAGAAAGAATTGTGTTCTGCAGAATACACCATCTAAGGAGTCTTTCTGCTGTGCCTTTTGCAATCGGATATGTCTGTCTCGTATTGGCCTCATAAGTCACCAATGTGCCTGTAACAAATGTGGATAGAGCCTTCCCAAATCTTCGTTCGCGAAGCCCAGCCATGAATGAATGTATGTTCATGTATATTCATGCAGTGAAAAATCTGATCATATGAAAACTTCTATCAGAGTGAAAGTGAAACCTCTTTGAGCATCAAGTAAGAACAAGTAAAATGAGGAGACAACCTGAGACAGTAGCAATACAATGCAGGATCAGTACTCTGGGTAATAATAAAGTAAGACCTTCCTCTCCATTCTGTGTGGTAGCTATCTCTCTTCTTTACACCAAATGTGCTTGGAACAAGAGAAAAGCAGCTCAGAATTCTTTTTTTTTTTCCCCAGCTCATGGAAGGACAAATAGAAAGTCAGTACCCCACATGGATATCTCCATGAAGGCAGTACAATTTCTGTAGACACTGTTTTGCCATCATTATTCTCTGTCTGGGCTCTTTGCTTCAGTTTTAGACACCAACCTATATTAGAAGTGAATTATATTTCAGGTGCTTCGTTAAGGCTCTGTTTCACAATTTTGTGTGAAAAATTACCTGTACATGGATGTCTGAATTCCCTAACAATTCAGACATATTCAAAATTTCATGGATTCTAACTTTACCTAAAGAAAAATTACTGCCAGAAAGTTTTATTCGGTCGAGTAGTCCCTCATGTAATATAGCCTTACCCTGTAAATGTTGATTTCCAGAAAAACAAGACCCATCAGTGAATGAAAAAGATCCTTCTGTTTTTCACTCCTGTTTATGGAAGATAAGAATTAGAAGAGAAATAGTCACTTGGAGAAAGAAAATAGAAATTTGGAAACAGACATGTCAGCTTAGCATTGCTGCTACCTAAATGGGAAAAGTATATGATATACCTACACAAAAATTTGGAGGTAAACATTGGCTTTTTCTGCCAGTCCTAGAAGATGGTTGAAAGCTATTTAAGTGCAGATGGTACAATGCTGAGTCAAAGTTAATCAGCCCTGACAATGGCTGTATTTATGCTGTTTCTGGTTTGAATATGGGCAGTGCCCCATTGTGCATTACATAGTCAAGTGCTCTCAAGTTCTGTGTCAAGAAGATGCATTTTGTCCACAGCCTCAAATTTATGTGCCTAGTTGCTCTCTGAAGTTGCCTAAATTTGTTTTGAAGATTCAGGTTTTGATTTTGATGGTGGAAGATTCTTGGGTAAACTGACAGTGCCTAAGACCTTGAACTGAATAAACCAGAATTTATTACGTGTAGTGATCAGAAATTTGCTGATTCCTTCTGAAAATACAACATTCTTTACTCTACACTTTGTGAAATTCCATGGACAGATAGTAATTAACAGAAATGGGGTTGAAGACAGGGCTAGCTTCTAGATATATCCTTGTGTATCTGTTTTTATTGACATATAAGAGGAAGAGGCATAAAAAGATGTGCAGGAAGCAGCCTGGTGATGACTATGAGAAAAGCTAATACAAAGTATCATGGAGCTTTCTCTTTGAAAGCTCCTGTTTTTCTGAAGTCTTCTGCCATGTTGGGAAGATCAGAGATTGTGCTTAAACTGTAGTTATATCTTGACCTTTTAATGAAATGCAATTATTATTTTAATTCATATTTACTTGTGCACTCCCTCCTCCTGGTACCACATCAAACACACTCACTGAATAATTCCTTATCAGCTTTGGGATAAATAAATCTTCTACTCTTGTTATCAAGGAGGCTCTAAACTGAGTGTATATGAAAGTAATTAGGCTGAGATACCCTAAATGCTCACCTGTGCAAGTAGTCTCTTATGAACACATATACAGGACAAAAGAGCTTGGACAGCTCTAGTAATGACCATGTGGGCTTGAATATTTGCCTGTATTATTAGGGTCCAACATGAAAGACAGCAGTAGGATCACAGAATCACAGAATGGGTAAGGTTGGAAGGGACCACAGTGGATCACCTGGTTCAACCTCCCTACTCAAGCAGGGTGATCCTAGAGCGCATTGCAGAAAATTGCATCCAGAAAGTTCTTAAATATCTCCAATGAGGGAGACTCCATAACCTCTCTGGCCAAGCTGTTCCAGTACATGGTTGCCTGCACAGTAAAGAAGTTCTTCATATTCAGACGGAACTTCCTGTGCATCAGTTTCTGCTCATTGCTTCTTGTCCTGTTCTTGGCACCACCAAGAAGAACCTGGCTCCATCTTCTTGACACCCTCCATTCAGATACTTGTATACGTTCATTATGTCCCCTCTCAGTTGCCTTTTCTCAAGGCGGAACAGGCTCAGCTCCCTCAGCTTTTCCTTGTAAGAGAGATGTTCCAGTGTCTTAATCATCTTTGTAGCCCTCCACTGGACCCAATCCAGGAGCTTCAGGTCTCTCTTGTACTGAGGAGCCCAGAACTGGACACTTCAGATGCAGCCTCTCTGGGGCTGAGTGGCAGGATCACCTCCCTTGATGTGCTGGCAATGCTCTTCCTAGAACCCATGGTTAATTCAGGTAATATTTACTTCTCAGTAACTCAGATCCACGTCTGTAAAACAAGGGTGGAATTATCAATCTGACCCATGTAGGGTTGCACAAAGTCTCAGAGATGCCGCAGTCCTAGGGTAACAGGAAAGAAAACACGAGCAGTCTCGGAAATGTCCATCAAAGACAGGATGGCTGTAGTTTCTATAGGAGAGCTCAGCAATACCTAACTTTAGCAACCTTATTTAGGTCACCAGGTTAAATACTGGAATCCCAAATTCTCTACATAGGTAATGGAGAAGAAAGTTGCCTCCAAAGGGCAATTCAGAGCACAACATAAGTGAAGGTCGCACCCTGAATTGCCATCAGGAGAAGTTGTTAATTATACAGAAACACTATTAAAATAATGTCGTAAGTTGTGTGCACTTTGCATTATCTACATCAATCTGCTACAATTTAACATCTATCCCGGAATTTTTCTGCAATGTGGCTACTACACTAGTCTTTCCTCTTCCCCAAAGACTGCCTTAAATTTGACACTAATAAGAGATTTGTAAGGCTGTGTAAAAAAACAGGAACACGTTTAACTACAGAGTTTTCCCCAGCCATTTGGATTGGTCACGAAATTTTGCATTGCTTCAGTTGATAACATGAAAAATATTTAAACTAACCTAAACAAGATAAATATCAGGAAAACACAAGCAACTGGATAAAATGTTTTTAGCACAGCAGCATTTTGGGGCTCCCTGAGTTCTATTATGTATTTTCTGAAGCATGGTATCTA